AGTCCAAGACCACGTCATCAGGGTAGTCCTATCACCGGCAACTCAGGTCATACCTGGCATGCCGAAGTCTCACACCACCATAGTCACGCCCCCTGGCTCCAAGTCTATTTCCAACCGCGCCCTCGTTCTCGCCGCCCTTGGGCAGGGAACGTGCCGGATCACGAACCTGCTGCATTCTGACGATACAGAGTACATGTTGTCAGCCATCGCTCAGCTTGGGGGAGCGACATACGCCTGGGAAGATGCCGGGGAGGTGTTGGCTGTCAAAGGCAAAGGTGGCGAGCTCAATGCTAGCAAAGAGGCGCTGTACCTTGGTAACGCTGGTACCGCATCCCGATTCCTGACGACTGTAGTGGCTCTTTGTGCGCCGTCCGGAGTGTCTTCCACAGTACTTACCGGCAACGCTCGCATGAAAGTTCGTCCAATTGGTCCTCTGGTCGATGCTCTCAGGGCCAATGGGTTGGGAATCAAATATCTCGGGCAAGAGAAGAGTCTTCCTCTCCAGGTGGATGCTGCCAATGGCTTCGAGGGCGGTGTCATAGAATTGGCCGCTACTATCTCATCGCAGTATGTGTCGTCGATTCTCATGGCTGCACCTTATGCGAAAAACCCAGTCACCCTGCGACTCGTAGGCGGAAAGCCCATATCACAATTTTACATTGATATGACCGTCTCGATGATGCGGACCTTCGGGGTGAACGTCACGAAATCGACAACGGAGCCCAATACCTACCACATTCCGAAGGCGGTGTACCAAAACCCATCCGAGTACGTCGTGGAGAGCGACGCCAGTTCCGCTACCTACCCTTTGGCTATTGCAGCCATTACCGGCACCACTTGTACTGTGCCCAACATTGGTTCAGAGTCACTTCAGGGCGACTCTCGTTTTGCTGTTGACGTGCTGAGACCTATGGGATGCACGGTCGAGCAGACTGGAACTTCGACGACTGTCACAGGCCCGCCCATTGGCGGTCTCAGGGCCATTGAGCATGTCGACATGGAACCCATGACAGACGCTTTTCTCACAGCCTCCGTCCTAGCCGCTGCGGCATCCGGAACAACCAAGATAAGCGGCATCGCCAATCAACGCGTTAAAGAATGCAATCGGATCGGGGCAATGCGCGAGCAACTGGCCAAATTTGGCGTTGAGACTGACGAATTTGACGACGGGATCATCGTTACCGGCCGCTCCGTGCAGGGGCTCCAGCAGCCTACCGAAAGCATTTATTGCTACGACGACCACCGCGTGGCCATGAGCTTCAGCGTTCTTTCAGTGGTATCACCCAGGCCTGTGACGATTCTTGAGAGGGAATGCACTGGCAAGACATGGCCAGGTTGGTGGGACACCATGTCGCAGTTCTTCAACGTTGGGCTTGACGGCATCGACCAGCACCCCAAGTCAGTGGCTACGGGACTTCCCACGAGATCTCGCAAGGATAGGTCTGTTGTCATCATTGGTATGCGTGGCGCAGGCAAGACGACTGCGGGAAGATGGATGGCCGCGACACTGAAGAGGCCTTTTATCGACTTGGATGAAGAGCTGGAACGGCGGTCAGGCATGACAATTCCGGAGATGATCAGAGGTTCCAAAGGATGGGCAGGCTTCAGAAGCGACGAGCTTGAACTTCTCCGGGATGTCTTGGAGAAACAGAGCCACGGGCATATCTTCTCATGTGGCGGCGGCATTGTAGAGACTCCTGAAGCTCGAAAATTGCTTGTCGCTCACTGCCAGAACAACGGCACTGTGTTACTCGTCCACCGCAATACTAAGGAAGTTGTTGACTACCTTCTGCAGGACAAATCAAGACCGGCCTACAGAGAAGACATTGAAGATGTCTACTGGCGCCGGAAGCCCTTCTTCGAGCAGTGCAGCAACTTTGAGTACTTCAGCCCTCATCCTCCCGGCACGTTGGCTACACGGGAGCCGCCGCTGGACTTTCGCCGCTTCGTCAATGTCTTGTGCGGAGAGCAGGTACAAGTCAATAAGGCACTGGCGAAGAATCCCAGTTTCTTTGTTTCCCTCACGATACCAGAGGTTGCGTCAGCTCTTACTCTGATACCGGCTGTTGTGGTCGGTTCCGACGCCGTGGAGCTCCGCGTGGACTTGCTCCAAGACTACTCTGAGGAGTTCGTTGCACACCAGGTTGCGCTTCTAAGATCGGTGGCAGATGTGCCCATTATCTTCACTCTGCGCACACAGTCTCAGGGCGGAAAGTTCCCTGACGACGCCCACGATCAAGCCCTGGGGCTGTACCAAAAAGCAATCCGCATGGGGGTTGAGTTCATCGATGTTGAGATGACACTTCCAGAGCGAGTCATTCGAGCAGTGGTGGAGAACAAAGGACCCGCGCGTATCATTGCCTCCCACCATGATCCCCAAGGCAGCTTGTCGTGGAAGAACGGTTCTTGGATTCCCTTCTACAACAAGGCTCTTCAATGGGGTGATGTGATCAAGCTCGTAGGTGTCGCCAAGCGGATTGAAGACAACTATGACCTAGCCCAGTTCAAGTTGGAGATGTTGTCTTCGCACAAGATCCCGATCATCGCTCTGAACATGGGACAAGCTGGAAAGCTCAGCCGTGTCCTGAACGGCTGCCTCACCCCTGTCTCCCATCCAAGTTTGCCATTCAAAGCAGCCCCGGGGCAATTGTCCGCGGCTGAGATCCGGCAAGCTTTAGCGTTGCTTGGGGACATCAACCCGCAAAGGTACTATCTTTTCGGTAGTCCCATCGCGGCGTCGAGGTCACCTGCTCTGCACAACACTCTGTTCGATTTGGTCGGGTTGCCGCACCATTACTTGCGCAAAGAAACGGCTAACGCAGCCGACGTGCGCGATTTGATCCGAGCTCCCGACTTTGGCGGCGCTTCCGTCACAATCCCGCTCAAGCTTGACATCATGAAGGAAATTGACGAAGTCTCGGAAGCTGCTCGCATCATTGGCGCTGTCAACACCATCATTCCAGTATCAACTGGCGGGGACGCGGCTAAGCTCGTCGGTGACAACACTGATTGGTCAGGTATGGTTCACTCTCTTCAGTCGGCAGGTGTTTCATCTCAGTCGACAGAAGATGGTCAGTCTTCTGCCATCGTTATTGGCTCAGGCGGAACAACAAGAGCTGCCATCTTCGCATTGCACGCACTTGGCTTCGGGCCCATCTACGCTCTAGCACGCAACAGTGGCAACCTGGAAACCCTGAAGGCGTCGTTCCCCTCAGATTATCGCATCGAAGCTCTCAAAAATGCCAGCGAAGTTCCTGCACTAGCATCCTCGCCTATCGTTATGGTCAGCACGATCCCTGCCGACAAGCCAGTTGATCCCTCGCTTCGAGAAACGCTCATGGCAGTATTGCGTCAAGACACGGCAGTCCATAGAAAACGCGTCCTTCTTGAGATGGCCTACCAGCCTCGCCATACACCACTGATGCAGTTGGCAGAGGACGCCGGGTGGGAGACCATCCCTGGCCTCGAGGTGCTCTCAGCACAGGGCTGGTATCAGGTAAGTGAATCTTTGTGGGCGGTGGAAATGTGGCAACGAAGGAGATGAACGTGACATAGGCAGCTAACTTGGCTTCAACCTAGTTCCAGAAATGGACGGACATCACCCCTCTCTACCAGACCGCTCGCGCAGCCGTCTTGGGCGAGGAAGTGGCGTAAGATAGCTAGGGCATGATGTAGCAGCCGGCCATCGAACATGCGCACCGAACATCACCGGTGCCCCGTTTGTCCTGCTATGGTTACGGGAGTACAAGAACGAGTCGCGGGGAATAACATGAACCATACAGACCTAGTTGCCGAGTAACTGACTGTACTTTGAGGTTTTATCTTAGAATTGATGAATAAAGAATTCGGTCGAATGATAGAGTACTGTGTCCTTGTCACGTAAACTGAGTGTATCGTTGCAGCATATGGCCTGGAATCCCTCTGTTCAACTATAAGATTAGGTAATCAACCACTTACACCAATGTAGAATGCCAGCATTCATTGAAAACGACGGCGAAAGCATTGAAGTTTCGAGTGGGAATGGTGTTGTACATATTAATATTTCTATAATGCGTCATTCTCCCTCATAATCTCATTTTATAGAAGACCAGTGACACCCGCATACCCTCAGCACCTCCCATTTCCCCCATCATCTCTTTTTTTATCTAGCCTTGCGGTCTCTGCTTAAACATGACAATATAGTGTACAATATCCCACACAAGAATCGCCATATGTAAAAATAAACGAAGTGAAAAGGCTCATTTCATATCCGCAGGTCCTAGCCCAACGCAGAAGGAAATAACGAAAACCACGCTACTTTTCAAAAAAAGGCAGAGTGCTGAAGTCCCAGCCGGACTAGGTAATTACCTATCCACAAATTTCAAATCAACCTGTCCACAAGCTGCCTGGGAAGACAAGCGAAAGCCTGTGGCGGGTATGTAGACAATGCAGCGTCATGATCATCCAGCCTCCCTGTCTCGACCCATCAATTCCCGATTTGATAGACTCAGGCGGAGATGGATGATGATGCCAAGACTCATGATGATGTCGTTGAGTGGAGTCGGGCAGGTTGCGCAACGTCTGGCTACGAGAGCCTGGTGTGGGTCGTGAACAGCAAATGATGTCATTGCGGATCACACGGATCGTCAGGGTCGTTGTGCACGGACCATGTGATGTCATGTCGCACGACCCTTGCTGCACCATCGAGGACCCTGAATTTTCACCCTTGTCAATAGGCCGACCGCCCCGCATCCCTGATTTCACTCCTCATGTTCGGAGATGATGGACGCTATTGTCGTCGCCCGGATCTTCGATAGTGACGCGAATGATTGAGTAGACCACATGGATTCCTCGGAAGGCCGGTGCACCCCTGAGGCGGTTAATCCGGTGTAAGCCTGCCGCGAGGCAACCATCTTTCGTGATGTGTTATGGTGCCAATACGCATGGACAATTGGCAGTATGATGAAGAGCGAAGCCTAAGCTTGTTAAAACGTTCCAAATCGATTGGCGTGCCAGAACATCTAAACGTTGTGCCCACGGCGTCGGTGCTTGCCTGGGAATTCAACATCTGGATGACAGACACGGTAGTGTCGCGTAAGTGCATCGGCGCGACTGAACGTCTTCTCCTCGGTGCAAAGATTACAGCGCACCTTTTGCTTCCGCGCGTTGTGAATGGTATCCTCATGACGGGTCAAGTCGTACGGGCGTGAAAATATGGTATGGCACGGTTTACCCGTACTAGGATTGATACGATCGCAACGATGAGGGCCGGCTTGGCTGTTGAGTATGCTGTCGGGAGATGTGGCAACTGCTTCGGGCCTTCTAGGTCCTCCAATACCCTGAGTCTGCCGATGACCCTCTCGCTTGTGCTTTTGTAGCAGAGCAGGAGTTTCGAATCGCATCGTGCACCCGTGGTAGGTGCAAGTGTAGGTTCCGCTGTCTGCAGCAGCACCAACAGGCTTGGCTATCGGTGTCGCGTTGGAAGTCGAAGTAGCATCAGATCCCCCGGTGCTTGACTCGGCAGAGCTAAGCCGAGGAATCTGCTCATGAGAATGCCGTGGGTGGGCGATGAATGGATACTGCTGTGGGATGTGGACAGCAGTCTGAAGCTGGCCTGGCATATATGAGAAAGCTGTCCCATTCTGCATGGCAGACCTAGCAAAGTTGACCTGCTGGTCTTGTGTGGCCACCGCCTTTGCAATGTCTTCGAAATCCACCGTCTCCTGGGATGGAAAGAGCGAGAATGATGATTCGGCATCACCGTCGTGAAACTCGAGCATCGCATCCTTAGGCGAGATTGTTTTCGGGGTGTCGGGCTCTGACTTTACAGACATTTGTTGTCGCATGATTTGTGCATCTTGCTCCGCCTTCTTCTGTTCCCGAATATGGTGGGCCGAGTTGAATCGTAGACGAGAGGCCTGAACACCTCCCCCAAAGTCATGGCTGGGCATAGGCGCCAGAGGTGAGCCCTGGCGGAATGGCGAACGATCGCGTGAAACGCTAGATACTGGCGATTGTGCTGCACTCAGGTGCTGGTTGTTTGCAGCGCTAAGTCGTTGCGCGAACACGTCATTACTAGGCGATACAGCCAACTGGGTTTGAGTCGGAGCTGCAGAGGTGATGGTGAAGTTTGGGCTGTACAGTTCATCATTGTAGATGTCTGTCATTGTGCGGTCCAATTTGGGGACATTGCTGAACACTACGTCGCAAACGTTGTATAAGCCTTTGTTCATAGCTAATAGCATAGATGATTGCTTACCAGCTTTCCGCCGCCTGTCATCTTCATGATCGAGATGTGATGGTGTTGCGGGTGAATCCCCGGCAATTGAGCTTGCTACAGAGTTTGGATGGGACCTGCTGCCCGCCATGGAAAGTTCAGGCGCGGGTAATAACCCGCGGTCGGAGCGTGGTCGTTGAACGTTCATAGCCGAGGCGTAGCCGGCCACATCTGACGATATATTCTGCAATCCGTTGTAATTGGGGTACATGTTGTCGTGAGACACTGCCATTGGCTTGTTGGACAATTGGTAGAAAGCATTACCGTCGTGGGCCTGCATATCGTACAGACCGTCGGGTGTCGAATCTGTAACCGCGATTTGAGGGTTCGATGTGTTGTGGCTGAAGGGTGACGCGGGACCGGCGGAACCGAGTGAGGATAAAGATGACTCCCGCTGATGGGGTAGTCGACCAATGGTCTTGGAAGCGTACTGATTCCCGAGTACCCAAGCGTCCGACTGCATGAGGCTATACTGGTGGTTATGGTTGAACGCAGAGTCTTCGAGGCCAGAAGCGGTTGTCGCTGATCGTCTTGGGACGGCCAAACGGGACGTTTCGTAGCTTGCAAGGCTTGCCGAGTTGTTTGCCAGGGAGTAATGGCAAGAGAGTAAAGATTGAGTCGAAAGCGGAGACGAGGAAATACTCGACGAGGTGAGATCGGGAACAGCGTCGTCAAAGGAGGTTTCCAAGTCGAAATCGATCGAGTGAGGGTAGAAGTGCTGGGGTTGTGTCTGATGCTGTTGGAGTAGATTGGAGTGATGATATTGATCAAGTTGTTGCTGTTGCTGATGTTGCTGGATTGATTGTGAAGCAGTGGGTCGGGTCAACAGCATGGTGTGGTAGCTGAGAAGTTTAGATGTTTTGTAGGTGTGATAGTGGGAGAGGTCAACTGAGTGGCAAACCATGGAGGGACGATGACTTATAAAGATGGAAAGACTGAAGAGAGGCAGCGGGTTGGTACCACTACGTAGGGGACTTGCAATGAGGTAGTAGACGGGTACGTACCCTAGAGAGATATGGGGCTTAGAAGGACCAGGGTGTGCGGTAAGGTAGCGCGCTGTGGGTACGTACCGTTCCTCGCAACGCGGACGAAGAGCGGAGGTACCGGGTGGAGGACCCGAGGCTTGGACAAGTTGTGCTGGCGGTCCCGGGGGTGGGATCAGTGTGGTAAGGAGAGCAGGGTTACAGGGGTTTCTAGGGATCGGGACCGGGGAGAACACCTTAAGGTCTGGATGCAGGAGGGGAGGGCCCGGAAGAGGGGGGGAAAGAAGACTGGGAGAAATTTTTCAGGTGTGTGGGATGATGACCAAGTCGACCAAAAGCATGCGGTATGAGTCCTCGAAGTTTTTTCTTTCTCGATTCCATTCGCTGGAAGATGGAGGAACCCTCAAGACCGACAACGGTCCAACCGTGGGTTTTGAGTTTTTGTCTCCATTAAGCAGCCCAACGAGCGAGCAAGTGCTTGAATAATGCACTTGCAACGTGATACGCATAAAAAATAAAATAAAAAGCGCGAGGAAAGCTCACTTTGTACTGCCCTGGAATCTAGGCGTATATTCGTACTTCTTTTCATTTTTCCCTCTTCCCCCCAGTCGACATTCGTACTTCCTAGGTGCCTTTTTTCCACCTTAGCTTTTCGATGCACATCATGTGAGCAACGCACGGAGTAGTAGAAGGCAGCAAGGGAAGTGCGCCGAGGTCTACAACCTAATCATCCGGAGTTAACGCAGAAGGAACTAGCGGGACGTTGCTGAAATGGCCGCAGGCAGACGGGACATTGAGTCCTCAACAACGGACCACTGAACAGCTGACGCGGATGGAAACTGAGTCACATGACGGAAAGAGAGATCGAGAACGGCCATGGCCCAGTACCTTATGGTGCTTACACAGTAAGGCGGAGTAAGGTAGGTACGCGGAAAGCGGGCGTGGACAGTAGAGCACCGATTTACAATCCAGCATAAGGCAGTGTAAGGTTAGTATGGCGGTGCAATGGATGTGACGAGGGTTTGCTCGAAGCCTCTAGAAGTTCTTTGGGTTCAGCGGTCATTGTCATTCACCCGACAAGTATTGTATCTTCCGCAGCGCCACCAGTCTTAGTCATGAAGGGCGACTGATTTCGACCGCTTAGACCCTCAACTTCACAACTGATGAGTGAGCATACTCTGTACCAAAAACACGGATCCGTCGTAGCACTCACGCGCTGTGGGTTGAGCGAGACGGACAAGGCGGGAAGATGCGAGGCGGGAGATAGCACGGAAGTAATCCGAGGAGTCCTGCTCTCGTTCCATAGCACTTCGCAGGCTCGCAGACAGGACACTCAAGGCTTGGCAGGGTGTTCGGCTAGGCTTGCGCTTGATGCTGCGCTGAGCGGGTGGTTGCACTCAAAGGGTCATGAGAAGCAGCGATCAAGACGTAGGTGGACTCCATTCCGGCGATGGAACGACATCGATAATCCCGTCGAGGGCTGGTGGAGTGACGTAGGGCGAAGGGTCGGGACCACTGAGGTCTCAAAGCTCGCCGCCATGGTAAGGTACCTAGTGTACGTGTAAAAACCGGCACCTCAGTGACTCTGTATTCTGCGCGGGTATTGATTTGAGAGAACCTACCTAATGTGTCGGAGAAGCTTACCCACCTTACCTAACAGGCTCATACCTATTACTATCCGTAACTACCTTAAAGTGCAGTACCTTACCTTGCTCGATACCTCCCACATTTGGTCGTCGCTTCCCAGGGTGCAGAAGCTACTGTGTCACTGTGAGGAGAGTGGAAGGGACTGATGGGGTGGTGGGCCCACCCGATGACATGCCGCGACGCATACACTGCGTAGGTAGGCACACCTTTACCACGTCGTTACCACGTTACAACTTTACATACCGTACCTCAGAGTCCCTCGATGATGGCACATGGATGCATCTTATTCCTGGACCAACACGGGCCATCCGTCACCGTGCTTGCAGGCTTTATTTCTCACCAGCGATTAATCGTCAGCGACCATCTCCTCGTTGAAAGTGGCCGACAGAAGGTGTGGGGAAACGAGACAAAACCCTCCAGTTCCAAGCTTCTTTTCCAAATATGCATATCCGTACGGAGTATATACCTTACCTAGTACCATACCTTGTAGGTACCTAGGCATGTCATTACCTAGTTGCGATAACCTGACCTTTACACAGTAGTGTACGTTGATAAAGCTCTGATATCATGCAACGTCAATGACCATTATCCGAGATTTTGGCCTGCGGAATGTCATCCAAGAACCCACAGGAGTATCCGTACCGTAGCTCCTTCACAGCATAGTGTCCGGCCGTGCCAGCCCAGCCTGGCGGGCAAACGCCGATGGTCAATGGTGGGTGGACCGGCCCAGGGAAGAGTGAGGGGGAACGGAGATCGCTTCCATGCTCGCTGTACCGGTCGCTTCTACCATGCCGTGACCCACGAAGGCTGCATGTTTTTGAAGGGTCCTGTCGGGCTGGATCATGGATGTTCATGTGGGTGTGATGGGAGCGTTTGGTTTGGTCTGGTCGGCGCGGGCAGACAGGGAACAAGGGTTCGTGCGAAAATGCCATGACCTCAGTCTGTGCCGGTTTTCCAAAAATGCAATGATGCAGGGCACCCGAAAGGGAGGGTGAAGGAAGGGGGAGGGCGGGGGGGAGGGCGGAAGGTTCTTGGAATTTCTCTTCGGCGAAGCCTCGGAGGACGGAGAGAGGGTGTTGCTCGTGCCCCGCGGTCTGAAGGGGAGAACCCCGCGAAGCGAGGCCGCGAGACGAGAGACCTCGAGAGAGCAGGAAAAAAAATAGCGAGACCGCTTGTACTTCCATCTTACGGGTGAACTCCTTTCATTGGCCGAAGGCTTGGGGCTCAGCCACATTGCCACACCGGCGATTCAGCGCTCAACTATCCGTCTTGTTCAAGCCGAGAGAAGCCACCCAATCACGCAATATGTCAATGTGTCAATTCACTTATCCGCAGGAATTTGCGTTTTCTAATTATGCAGTGCACCTCCTCTCTGGCTTCGGCCTCGTGGTTGTCGTCTGCAGGTACACGCCATCGATAAACGAAGCGAAGATTCTACACTCAGAACGAATGCCCGATCGGTCCACCCTGCCATCGCCTTCTCCTATTCGTGCACTCCCAGCCCATTCCAGTGCGGCAGTGCCCTATGAGAAATTTGGGGAGATAAGCAAGTAAGGTACGAACACCGTACCGGTATATTTTTGGTCTACACTACACTGCATTGTGTTATCGAAAATGTGCAACGAGATGGGACGTCTTTCCCATCAGCCGGTTGACTAAAATCATGTCAATGACAAATGATCGCAGCGTTTCAAGCACAGAAGCTACCACTTGCTGACGCATCGTAGTACAGTGCCAATCTCACAGATGATGTCACGTCCCGTGATCTCTTTACGGCTCTGTGCTTAGTCATCAGATCACAAAGTGAACCCGATAGCCAAGACATCGTGTGGCTGGTGGCCTCTTTGTAACCGTGCGTGTAGCACGTATCGGCTTTGGTTAAACTAAGCATAGGCATCCATCCAAACCTTACCTAACCGATACCCTAAGCCCGAGGTTTGACTGAATGCGAAAACCACTTGGAGTTTACAGCCAACGTCATACAGCAACGATAGGCAGGGTCTTGATGTGCGTGCACAATTGCCCTCCGTTATCCGACCATTTGAATTTATGAACCTTAGTACGCTATGCTTCACTGCAAGACTTTTGGCTAAGTAGTTTATTTCCTCGCAACGCAGCTCAAAGATACAGCTGCAATGCGCCAGCCTACTAGGAACCCTGTCCGCCACCACTTTGAATAGCATGGTCAGCTGCCATCAGCCTTCTGGTATGCGTAACGGTCCGAGGCATCCACCACGTATCCAGCATGTCTAGGGTATGATGGAATGTTGGCACGCAGTACGCCGCAACTTGCAAGCTGAGATGTGGCTGGGCAGTGCTGGCTGCTTTGTATTCTTGACAACCACTTTCGGTCATCATTCCGGTCCATTATACGGATATACCTACCTCCCTATACTGTACGCCCTCGCATCCTCGGATTATAGCCGGAACTGGCAAGGAATGGCACTTGGTGACCGACGCTCGTTATTTAATTTACACAGAGATAGGTTGGGTGTGTTTGCTCTGAACATTTGACTCGTGCTTTCATCTCAGTGATGTGGCTCAACCACGAGAAAGACAGGCCACCCATGGCCGGTGGTCCCCAAGGAGCATTGTAGCCATGTAGGTAGTGTAGAATACAGATGCCGAGGTGTGTTCCAGCCACACGTGTCGATCTTTAATGTGGCTTACGCACCTGCACGTCGGGTCCCGACCGAGCGGGCTTCCTCGGGATATCCACCATTGTGACGCTGCTCACACATCTCACTCACTATGCCAAGCTGCCAGTGAATATGGGAATATTCTTACATTATCAAGCTTGAATCGGGGCATTGGACTGAGTCCTTGCTCCGCGCGCGCAGCGTCGGAGAGACGGGGCTGTGAATTACACGAATCAGTCACACTAACAATGCCAGCTGATGGATGAGTTAGCTCCTCTCAGCAGCCGCAGCCGCCGGCCGCGCCAGCTCTAGGGGTAATGGATATCGATTCCTAGCTGCCAAGGAAGTGACTCGGACAAGACCCTCTCCATCGCGACTCGTAATACGCTGCTATAGACTCTTCTTGTTTGCGTTGTCAGCTGAGCCTTTTGCCCCGGGATTCATCGTATTCCTCTCGTATCAAACCTCACACGATACTTCATTGCTGCGAATTGTCAGGTCGTGTCTATTGTAGCCGCCGTCATGATCAGCGCCGCCGTACCAAGAGTGCCCCACCCGGGTCC